TAGGAAAATCACACAATTCCAGGAATCATGGCCCAGCCAAATTGATACTCACATTTTTGGGGGGACATAATTCAATCCACAACAGGTTGTACCTTGAATCAATCTCTTTTGAGATATAAAAGACAGAAGGAAGCAGAGAGACGGGAACCTCATGCCACCAAGAACAAAGAACCAGGAGGGGAGCAGATCCTTTGGACCTAGGGTCCCTGCACTAAAAAGCTTCTAAACCAGGTGAAGATTAATGACAAGGACCTGCCCCCAGAGCCAATAAAGAGAGAAAGCCTTCCCCTAGAGCTGGTACCCTGAATTTGGACTTTTAGCCTCCTAGACTGTGAGAGAATAAATTGCTCTTTGTTAAAGTCATCCACTTGCAGTATTTCTGTTATAGCAGCACTAGATGACTAAGACAGTCTCTACTGTCTTAGAGAATAGATACGGCACCAGCAATAGAATGTTGCTAGAAATGTGGATGTTAAATGTGCTTCTGGTATGGCTTTAAAAGAAAATGATGAATATGGGATTGGACAATGGAGGAAGGGTGATGCTTTTTATGCAGTGGCAAAGAACTTGTTTGAATTATGTTTAATGTTTGGTGGAAGTTCAGAACTTGCAAATAATGAATTAGGATATCTGGCTGATGAGATTTCTAAGTAAGATCTTACAGGAGCTGCGTGGTTTCTCCACGCCGCTTATAGTAAAATGTGAGAGAAAAGAGATGGATGGAAAAATTAACTACACAAAATTGAAAACAGAACTTAAAGATCTGGAAAATTTTGCTGTACAAACCAAGGACACGTGTCCTAGAATGTTCACCAAGGATATGGTTACACAATCTTTTGTTAGAGATGAAGCCTGTGACTGATGGATCCAACCAACTACCACAGCAGAAAACCAATCAGCTTAGACTGAAGGGGACAGAGAAAGAATGAAAGTGGAGAACACTGTCTGCTTCTTGAAATTCTACATGCAAGAAACAGGCCAAAGAAGCTACATCTGTGTCCTCTAAGAAAAGGAAAGGATCATCCTTGGAGAAGCCTGAAGATCAGCAAAACTGCTGGAGGGAACACAGGAAGCACAGCCTTCTCCGTTTCAAATGGTGGGGCTATGGCTCTCCTGGATCTCAAAGGATGGAGCCACAGCCACCTATGTTTTAAAGAGTTGGATCTTCACTGTCTTAGTTATCTCATGCTGCTGTAACAGAAATACCACAAGTGGATGGCTTTAACACAAAGAAATTTATTTTCTCACAGTCTGGGAGGCTAGAAGTTCAAATTCAGAGCACCAGCTCTAATGGATGGCTTTCTCTCTGTCGGTTCTGGAGGAAGGCCCTTGTCATCAATCTTCCCTTGTTCAAGGAGTTTCTCACCGCAGGAACCTCAGGTCCAAAGGACACGTTCTGCTCCCAGTATTGCTTTTTTGGTGGTATGAGGTTCCCATGTCTCTCTGCTCACTTCTCTTTTTTATATCTCAAAAGAGATTGGCTGAAAACACAATCCAATATTATAGATTGAGTCCTGCCTCATTAACATAACTGCCACTAATCCCATGTCATCAACATCATAGATAGGATTTATAACACATAGAAAAAATCACAGATGACAAAATGGTGGACAATCAGAAAATACTGAGAATCGTGGCCTAGCCAAGTTGACAGATATTTGTGGGGGACATAATTCAATCCATGACATTCACCAACTCAGTTCTGGAGTGTAAGGCTGCTGTTAAGTTGTGCCAGGGGATGGAGCTACTGCCCAAAGCTGATGGAGTGGGGCTGCCATGCCCATAGTTATGGGCAGAAGAACAGGGCCTGTCATGGATGAGGGGATGGAGTCACTACTCAGATGGACAAGAATGGGGCCAGCTAAAGCCAAGGGAACAGAGTTGCCATCCTAGAGGGCCTGGAAGGTGTGGCAGAAGCCCAGGGCCAGGGGCCTCCACCCAGAATCCAGACAGCATGGCCAACACCCAGAATCTGGAGGTGGGGTCATTGCCTAGATGGTCTCAGAGAACAGAGGATTATTTTCAAGCCTTGAGAGCTAACATAAATTGTTCTGCTGGGTTTTGGACTTGCTTGGTGCCTGTAATCCCTTTTTTCCCTCCAATTTAATGGAAATGTCTACCTTGTGTCTGTTCTATCATTGTACTTTGGAAGCAGATAACTTGTACTCTAGATTTCACAGGTTCACAGATGAAAATGAATTTTGCCCCAGGATGGAATTTGGACTTGGAGTTGATTTAAGACTTTTGGGATGATATGATGGGGTGAATGTGTTTTGCATGTGGAAGGACAAGAATTTGGGGGGCCAAAGTGTGGAATGTTATGGACTGAATTGTGTCCCCCCAAAATATGTGCCGTATATAAATCCTAACCTCTATACCCGTGGTTATAATCCCATTTGGGAATGGGCTGTCTTTGTTATGCTAATGAGATATGATTCCTGTAGGCTGTGCCTACATTCTCTTTTGAGATATAAAACTGATTAAACAACCAAGCCAAAAAAGGAGAGAAAGGTGAAGTGAGATGCTAAGCCACATGAAGATCACCCAGGAGCAGAAGTTCAAAGACATAAGGACCTTCCTCCAGAGCCGAGAGAGAAAGAAAGCCTTCCTCTAGAGCTGGCACCCTGAATTTGGAACTGTGAGAAAATAAACTGCTTGTTAAAACCACTCATTTGTGGCATTTCTGTTATAGTAGCACTAGATAACTAGGACGATTAGTTAATCACTTACTTGTTTGCCTCATTCACTAGTCTATAAACTTCTGGACTCTGGATTCCTCAAGGATAAGGTTAGGAACTAATCTTTACATCTCAAGGACTTTTCAGGGCTATTCCATAAAGAGTCAATGAAAGAATGAATGCCCCAGCCACTTCCATTTGTGTCACTTTTTTCTATAAAGACTTCAAAATTAGTAGAAGTATTTCAAAGCAATGAAACTCACTAACCCAAGTTTTCTTTTAAAAGTCACCCAGCAAATTATTATTCTTTTAAAAAACTTAATAAAAACTAAAATCTTCCAGAATTATTGATTTATGCTTCCTGTTCAAGATAAGTCACAACTCTTAGTTTTAAAATACCTTTTCAAATAATGGACATGAAAGGTAAGATGAATTTATCACTCAGACAAAGTACCTGTAATCATCACCACACAAATCACTATTGGATACCAAAGGAATAAATCATGATTGTTATTTATACAACTAAAAGGTCACAAAACAAATGAGTGAAAATTTTGTTCATATATTTTCCCTTAACACATAAAATCTGTATGATACAGGAAGGTAGTACAGCGTGCTGATTAAGAACACAAGCTCAGAAATCAGAATGCTAGTTGTGTGATTTTAAGCAAACTACTTAAACCTCTCTGTGCCTTTGTTTCCTCATCTAAAAGCAAAGATGATAAAACCACCCACCTCACAGTGTTGCTGGGTGACTGAAGTAGCATTGATAACAACCTTGGTACAGTGCCCAGCAGAATAAATGCATACTAATAAATGTCTGCTATTATCACTGTGTTTTTAACTTTTTAAAGCCCTTTTCCCACAACACAACGAGACTGTTCTGACAAGAAATGCTATCCCCACTTCAGAGATAAAGCACAAATAAACAAAAAAAAAAACAAACCCAATGCTGTCGAGTCGATTCTGACTCACAGAGACCCTGTAAGACAGAACAGAACTGCCCCACAGGGTTTCCAAGGAGCAGCTGGTGGATTCGAACTGCTGACCTTTTGGTTAGCAGCTGAGCTCTTAACCACTTTGCCACCAGGGCTCCAAGCACAAAGAAGTTACATAATTTTCCTAAGATATTTTAAATGGCAGAGTTGAAACTAGAACCTACACATAACCCCAGTCCCAGGCCAAAAATGACCAAATCGTCATAGATCCTGTGTGGAAGATTCTTTCGGTTTCCCCTATTGTTTCCTCATAACTGCCAGCCTAAGGACCTCGTCAGAACAGATGAACCACCCCATCTGCTCAAGTCAAGAGGTAAGAGAAGCCACTTTCACAGTGCCTGACACAGAGTGGGCACTCCAGAGACAAAGGCTGCTGATGACTGAAACATAAAGTGCTAATTGTGCTTTCTCAATAACAAAACATGGGACTCCACCCAAAAGCCTGCTATCCAAAAAAAGAAAAGTTACGCTTATCTGTCACATCAAATTACAATGTGGCAATAGAAACTTCAAAAAAAATTTAAATAATTTTCTTTTACTAACTCAAAATATAGTTAGTTTTGCAAAAAAGACTTTCATCAAGACAGTTTTTTGAAAATTTGCCCAATTAGTTATGTTCCATGAGATGGTGTTTATGTGAGATATGAATAAATAACATTTCATCTTTCTAAAGCCTTCGAGTATCTTCAATACTCTCCAGGGCTGAAACTGAATTTCAATCACCAGTCTTACTGATCTGCGGCCACGTGCATATCGAACACAGTTGTATAAACTCGAAAAACAAATGCAATGCTTCCAGGGAATCAATCTGACTTTAGGGACTAACAACTAAGAAAACGTCTCCAAAATGACACTTAAGTGCCCTATCTATCTTCTCTTCAAATGGGCAAGTATAAACTAAGACACACCTTAAAAACCAGACTAGACATCAGCCTCTGGCTACGGCCTACCTTTCTTTGTGACACTGCTATTGTGGCATCTACAGACACGCCTCTGGCGACTGTAGGATACTCAGACAAGGCATCCCAGCCCCTACCCTCAACAGCTCACGTCCAAGCCGCGCACGTGGTGGACACTTGAGATGTTTTTGCACATTTAATTTAATACAGGCAGAGCTCGGACTTTGTTCAGTGGCGGTGCAGCTCCCAGACCCGTCTAAGTCGGGAGTGGGTAAGCCTTGATGCTCAGTCTGCTCACACAGCCGAGACACCCGGTCCCTCCTCCTCCCGCTCCCACCTCACCCTAACCAACCCTTCCGCGCGACGCCTTGGCCCCCGACGCCTCCGCCAGCGTCCATGAGCCGCTTCCGCGCGCTTCCTCTCACCTGAGTCGGAGACGCCGCAACCTGCGTCGGGACCCTAATTCCTAATCAAGTCGCCGCCACCTGGGGCCGCAGCCCGGGGGAGGCCCGTGGCTCAGGAAGAACAGCGTAGGCTGATACTCCCCCTCCACCGATCAGGGGATCCCCGGCCGCCGCCGCCATTTTCCCCGCGCCGTAACCCCCACCTGCCAGTTCTAGCCTCCCACCTGTAACCGGCAGAGGACGACGCGCGACAACGAGGGGGTCGCGTGGGCCAGCTGGGGAATCCGCAGGGGTCACAACCTCCGGAGGGAACCCGCCGCTAATTCATCCCTAATAAGGGAAGCGTCCGGACCGTCGCCTTAGTACTGCGTCCCGTCAAGCTCCATTCTGATTGGCTGCGAGCGGCCATGACGCGACGGCGTCCCCGGCCGCATGGGAAGCCCGGGTCCCGGGCGCCCCGCCCCTGCTCCCCGGCCGGGAGGATCCCGGAGCTCCAGCCTTCGAGAGCTTAAAGGGCCCGCGCTTATTTCCTCCTCCGGCCTCTTGGAAAGACCGACAGAAGGGTGGGATGTAGACGCGAAAAACAATGTAACTAGGAAATCAACGGGTGTCATTGTCCTAGGAAACCTAATGATTCGTCCAATTCCTAGAGTTTCAGGATGGAAAACAGAAATCTGGGAAGGTTAATTTGCAAGCCTAATTTATTTGTCTGAGGTCTCAAGGTAAATCGATAGAAGTACTACTATTACTGCTGTAACAACTCGGGTTCCTAATTACGCAACGTAATGCTCTTCCTGTCTCGCAGCATTTCCCCATCCTGGGTAAATTTTCCTTCCCCTGAGCAACCATAGCACTTTCATTATACCCCTCTTAAAAGGCATTCATCACTTTCTAGTGTGGTATATCTGTCCCATTACCTTCTATACGCTAAGCTTCTTAATGGTGGGCACTGCGGTTAAACCTCTTTTCATTTCTCCTACGCAATGCCTTCCTCGTGTTAGCCTTTAATAAATATTCACTGAATCAAAATCTTAAAAATAATAAAAAGAAACCAATGCCATACATCACACACGTAGCCACTCATCCATCATTCATGTATATTTATGTATATTATTCTTTATTCAAAAAGGAACAGAGGGGAATGAATGTAAAAAAGTCCAAGGTGCCTGTCGTCACAGAATTCATAGTGTTATAATAATGAACATCTAGGTTTTGGATGCACAGCTTTAATATAGCTAAATTATACCCCAAACTCTGTGAACCAAAAGTTCCTGTGCTCCTGTCCTAAATCAGCCTCACATTTTCTCTAATTTTGTTAAAAAATATTTAAATATTTGAGATGCGCTAAAATTGTGTTACAAAATGACGGTATACAACAGAGGGAAACACCAGTGCAAGAACCAAGACGCCTAGCTTTTATTTCTACTCCACCAATGAACCTCATTTTTTATCTTTAGAATAAGATTCCTAGAATAAAAGATGTTTAAATCCTATTTTCCCACTCCTACAAATTTTCAAGCTTCCTGAAGTCACACACCAGGGGAAAAAAACCCTGAAGACACGAGAGATGGGTTTTGAAAGCAGAGGGATTATGTAATAATTTGTTTTTGTATCTCCATAAGCCTTAGAACAGACCATGTCACCTGAGGAAGAGAACTATAGACATTACAATATAATGACTGTTGGATAAAGGTTGGCTGACTTGAATGAATTATCCTGGTTTCCCCCCTGTTTAACCTTCTAGCCTTTGACCTTTCTTAGGGGTAGAGCAGTGGGACCTGAAGGACTTGTAGGGAAAGAAAGGATCAAAGCTGGAGTCCAAGAGTACAAGGAAAAAGACTGCAGGGCAAACCCAAGGAGCATGGCTCTAAAGCGCCCTGGTTAGGTCCCACTGAGAGAGTGACAAAACACGGGTCCAAACCATCTTACTGCAACTGGGGTAAACTTACTGTACAGTTACCCAGGAGATTGGGTGGGGAAGGTCTGTCCTCCAAAAAGTGGATTCCCATGGCTCAGAGTGACCTTCAGAACACTTGCTACAGTGTCCCTCTGCCGAAACCTCCCACGAACACTATGTCCCTCTTATACTGTGTGCTCAACCAGCTGTTTAAAATACATGACCTTATAATACAATTGGATCAGGGTGTCTCTGATCACAAACTTTACTAGTTAGATAAATGCCAAGTAAGCAGAGTTCAAATTGTACAGAAGGGACTTTTACCCTACTTCAGACTCTAACCCTATTAGTAACTCTCACTGACTCTTAGTAAGGACGGTCCTTCAGACTAGAACTGAGGTCCACTCTAGGTCCTAGGCTAAAACTGTTCTGCTTAAACCACCCCCATCCCAACAAACAAACTCATTGCCGTCGATTCTGACTAATAGCGACCCTGTAGGACAGAGTAGAACTGCCCCATAGTGTTTCCAAGGAGCAGCTGGTGGATTCGAACTGCCGACCTTTTGGTTCGCAGCCGTAGCTGTTAACCACTGTGCAACCCGGTCTCCCTTGAACCACAAGCCCCGGTGTAATAATAGTTTTCTTAGATTCTCCCCATAGAATTTCTCTGAAATGAGGTTCCACCAAGCCTGCCCTGGTAAAGGAACGTTTAATTAGTACAGGGACAGTAGCTCACATCTTAACTTCTTTCATTTACTAGTTATGTGGTCTTGGAAAACTCATGTCATCTCTCTGAGACTCTCTTCATCTGTGAAATAGAATCATCTTTCCCTTCAGAATTGTTGTAAAGGAAAGAGAGTTTACCTTCTAGCAAGCCATCATCTTGGATCCCACCTTCTGTGTAGCTCCTCCAAGGCAACGTGGTAAAGTCAGTAAAGCCGCGCATGAGCTTGGGAGCCAAACAAATCTTAATTTTAACCCCATTTCTGACATTTCATAAGCAGTGAAATTTTGGTTAAGCCACTTAATTGCCCTGAGCCTCAGTATTCTTACCTGCAAAACTTTGCTATTAATCTGTTAAGATCATTGAGCACATAGAATGGAATAATAATCATAACTACCTGCCATTTGTTGAGCACTCACAGTGTTCCAGGTACTATGTAAACCCTTTATGCACATCATTTAATTCTCAAAACACCTTTTTTACAGATGGGGATGATGAGACCTAGAAAGGGTGAGCTACTTGCCCAAGGTCTCACAGTCAGTGTGTGGCAGAGTCAGGGATTCAAGTCCAGGTCTCTCTGATACTGATGGCCTTTTGCCTAATTATTCTACCAAGCTGTATGGAATCCTCTCTGGGGGTCATTAGCATATGATACAAAGATCCTAACACTTAGTGCCCACTCCCACAGGTCTCTTCTCCAGACCTTCTTGTCTCTAATCTTCTAAGCTTGATTCTTCCAGACCCCTGACCAGCCAGCTAAGCCATTTGTCACTGCCAGTGTCCATATATATATTTCCCTTGAGCCAGTTCTCTCCTACACAAAATGGATGACCAGGGACACTGCCTTCTACTTTTCTCATTGGGATTATTGCCCCCACCACTCTATCAGGGACACTTCTCAGCAGGGCTGAGGTGAAATCACAGTCCATTTTTAGCTCACATCCACAGGCCAAGCCTATCCATCTTCAAAAAAACTCAGGCTTTTTCCTCCTTTATTATGTAAATCATTCCCCACGAATTAGGAACAGGTGTTGGTGACACAGTGTTAGGAAACAAGGGAGTCTAGGCCATCTGTTCGTGCAGCTTTCTTGTATCCTCTGGACTTGCTGAAACTCAGTCCTGGATGTACCACTTCCAGTTTGAAGGATTGTTGCTGGGCACACAAAAGTGTAACTTGGTGGGTCTAATACTACCCAATTCATGAAGGGCAGCTTGGGTTGCATGGTCACTTGATGCCCACAGTCAGATGCTCAGTCTCTATCAGGGCTAGTAGCGTGCCAAGATACACTTTTCCAATGTGCAGAGTACCTTCCTATGGTTGGCATGACCATGCTGTATAACCCTAGAGGCTGTACTAATCTTTTGGGACTTGCCAGAGGCTACACATGGCATTTCCTCTTCCACAGATGCCTCTAGTATCATGGGATCTGTCATCTGGTATGGCCCAAGTGGCAGAGTTGCTTGCACCACAGGCTGGACATGCTGCTGAGGCCTTTTGTTATATGAACCCTACCCAAAGCTAGCTGTCTTCCCCATCAACTGCTAAATGGGTAGGAACAGTATTTTCAAGTGCAGAATATGCTGATTCCTAAACCCAAAGAGATCTACTTCTTTCTTAGTGGTAGGAGGTACAAAGTACAGTAACTTGTCCTTTACTTTGAAGGGAATATCCTGATATGCCCTACACAACTGGATCACTTCACCATCCAAATAAGGTTTTTACTTTTATTAATAGTGTTGCATTAAGATTATTTTCCTTAAAAAAAAAAATCCACAAACGAAAGGAATTCAGCACGGAGAGTAACAGGAAGAAAGAAAACATCAGCACCACAATAAAAAGCACTACAAAATGACAGCAATAAACTCATATCTATCAATAATTACACTGAATGTAAATGGAATCAATGCACCCATAAACAGAAGGAGAGTGACAGAATGGATTAAAAAAACAGGACCCATAAGTATGCTGTCTACAAGAGAGAGATACACCTTAGAAACAAAGACGTGAATTTACTAAAAGTCAAAGGTTGGAAAAAAATATATCAAGCTAACAACTACCAAAAAAGAGCAGGAGTGCCAATTCTAATCTCAGATAAAATAGACTTTTAAACAAAATCCACCATAAAAGACAAAGAAGGAGACACTGTATAATGATTAAGAGGATGATCCATCATGAAGCCATAACCATAATAAACATCTATTCACCCCATGTCAAGGCTCCAAAATACATAAAACGAACTCTAACAGTACTGAAAAGAGAAATTGACAGTTCCACAATAATAGTAGGAGACTTCTACACACCACTCCCAGTAAAAGACAGAGCATTTAAAAAGAAACTCAGCAAAGATACAGAAGACCTAAAGGGCACAATCAGCCAACTGGACCTCATAGACATACATAGAACACTCCATTCAACCGCTGCAAAGTACACATTCTTTTCCAATGCACATGGAACGTTCACCAGAATAGACCACATCTTAGGCCACAGAGCAATCCTCAACAAGATGCAAAACACTGAGATAATTCAAAGTATTTTCTCTGACCACAATGCCATCAAGGTAGAAATTAACAACAGAA